ATCCTGTTCCCACAATAATAAGAGTCAGTGGATATTTGTTTCGTATGTGTGTGTGGGCGGGAGGGGGGGTGCATGTGTATTTTTGTTTCTGTGTTTCTATGTATGTGTGGGTGGATGAGTATGTGTACGATATGTGTAGGTATATTATTATGGGTGTATGTTTATGTGTCTCTGTGTTTGTGTTTGTTTGTGTGGGGGTGGGGAGTGGGGGATCATGCGTGTTTTTCTGCGTTTCTGTGGAGGAGGTAGGGGGTGTCTGAAAATATGTATGGTTGTATGCAGTTTAAGTTTTTGGCTTTGGATTTTTTTTGGGGGGGCGGATTTTTTCATTCATTTTCTTTTAAATCTCGTGATCAGCAATAATTAACACTTCCCACGCTTTGGTTCGTTTGCTTGCATGTGGCTATTTTATTATTTGTCTGTTGGGTTGTTATCTTGGACCGATTAGAGAAAAAAACAACAGATCAGTGTTCATATTGCATCTTGTCACGCTTGTTTCTTTTTAGCAACCTAATCTTTCCCCATTAAATAACATCAGTTAGTTTGCATGGCCCACCAAAATGTTAACATGAGATTTAAGAGAGCACGAACAGTGGAGTTTTCAGATTGCCAACATTGTTTATTTTTTTATAAGGAAAAAACTCCCGAATAAAATTGCCAAAGCAAGAATAAAATGCAAATAATAGACAATAATTGCGCACCGTGAAATCTGTGCCGCTTTTTAAATTATTATATATAAATGTGTGTATATGTATATATATTATATAATATATATACAATATATATATAACATATTATATAATATATATATATATATATATATTAAACATAATATATAATACAAAATTAAGGGGAAGAAAAGAATGAAATATCAAGGTGACATCAGAGAGATGACATGTACTATCTGGTAACGGAAACAGCTGATAAAACAAAGTGAACGTCATTGTAGAAAGGACTACATCCTGCAGTGGATGAAGAACGCCAATAAAGAAAGAAAAGAAGGAATATAGAATCATAAACAATGTGTATAACTATGCATATGCATATGTGTATGAGCATCCGTTTGTGTGAGTACGTGCGTGTGTATGTGTGTGTGTATGTGT